GTTTTTTCCCTCATCAATTTACACACAATACCCCACAATGACAAAGCAAAAACAGGTTTTTAGAAAATTTTGGAAATATAAAAAATTGAAATATTACATTTACATAACTATTCAGACCCATGTCTCAGTACTATGTTAAAGCACCTTCGGCAGCGATTACAGCGTCATGTCTTCTTGGGTATCTGCAGATCCTCTCAAGCTCTGTCAGGTTGGATGGGGAGCGTCGCTACACAGCTATTTTCAGGTCTCTCCAGAGATGTTCGATCGGGTTCAAGTCCGGGCTCTGGCTGGACCACTCGAGTACATTCAGAGACTTGTCCCGAAACTTGTGTGCTTAGGGTGGTTGTCCTGTTGGAAGGTGAGCCTTCGCCCCAGTCTGAGGTCCTGAGCGCTCTGGAGCAGGTTTTCATCAAGTATCTCTCTGTACTTTGCTCAGTTCATCTTTCTCTCGATCCTGTCCCAGTCACTGCCGCTGATAAACATCCCCACAGCTTGATGCTGCCACCACCATGCTTCACCGTAGGGATAGTGCCAGGTTTCCTCCAGATGTGATGCTTGGCATTCAGGCCAAGGAGTTCAATCTTGGTTTCATCAGACCAAAGAATCTTGTTTCTCACGGTCTGAGAGTCCTTTAGGTGCCTTTTGGCAAACCCTATTCGTGCTGTCATGTGCCTTTTTACTGAGGAGTGGCTTCTGTCTGGCCATTCTACCATAAAGGCCTGATTGGTGGAGTGCTGCAGAGATGGTTGTCCTTCTGGAAGATTCTCCCATCTCCACAGAGGAACTCTGGAGCCATCGGGTTCTTGGTCACCTCCCTGACCAAGGCCCTTCTCCCCCGATTGCTCAGTTTGGCCGTGCTGCCAGCTCTACGAAGGAACTTAGTGGTTTCAAACTTCTTCCATTTAAGAATGATAAAGGCCACTATGTTCTTGGGGACCTTCAATGCTGCAGACATTTTTTCGTACCCTTCCCCATATCTGTGCCTCAACCCAATTCTGTCTCAGCTCAACGGACAGTTTCTTCGACCTCATGGCTTGGTTTTTGCTCTGACATGCACTGTCAACTGTGGGACCTTATATAGACAGGTGTGTGCCTTTCCAAATCATGTCCAATCAAATGAATTTACCGCAGCTGGTCTCCAATGAAGTTGTAGAAACATCTCAAGGATGATCAATGAAAACAGGATGCACCTGAGCTCAATTTCGAGTGTCATAGCAAAGGGTCCGAATACTTCTTTAAATAAGGTATTTCTGTTTTTAATTTGTAAAAAATTAGCGAAAATGTCTAAACCTGTTTTCACTTTGTCATTATGGGGTATTGTGTGTAGATTGATGAGAGAAATGTTTTTTAAAAATCAATTTTAGAATAAGGCTGTAACGTAACAAAGTGGAAAAAGTCAAGGGGTCTGAATACTATCCGAATGCACTGTATATTTTCTAAGTATCACATCATTGTTAAAAAATCAACAACTGCTTCTGTAAAAGTCTAGAAAATACATTTCAGAACAAGAACACACAATGTGGTTAATGCACATGCTTCTGACAATAAAAAGATAAACCAATTATAGACCATATAACGCCTTAATGAAAGTAAAGCGTTGCAGAGAACGTTTCAAGAAGATCCAATGTAAGGGGCATGTTTTACAAAAACCTTTGTGGATGTTACATTGCCTGTCCCTATCATATATTCAGAATACTGTAGAACTAGCAAAGAACTCAAGACACTTCAATTCGGTCTGTATTACTTCATTAACATCTCAACTTCATAATAAACATGACAGCTGTGAGTGGAATAGCAAGCTCTGTGAGCCATTTCGAAAAGCCATGAAATACACCGAACAAAAATCTAAACGCAACATGCAACAATTTCAATGATTTTACTGAATTAAAGTTCATATAAGGAAATCAGTCAATTTAAATAAATTCATTAGGCCCAGATCTATGGATTTCACATGACTGGGCAGGGGCCCACACACTTGGGAGCCAGGCCCCCACCCACTGGGGAGCCAGGCCCAGGCAATCAGAATGAGTTTTTCCCCATAAAAGGGCTTTATTACAGACAGAAATACTCCTCAGTTTCATCAGCTGTCCGGGTGGCTAGTCTCAGACAATCCTGCAGGTAAAGAAACCGGATGTGGAGGTCCAGGGCTGGGGTGGTTACACGTGGTCTGCGGTAGGACGTACTGCCAAATTCTCTAAAACGACATTGGAGGCAGCTTATGGTAGAGAAATTAACATTTAAATTATCTGACAACAGTTCTGGTGGACATTCCTGCAGTCAGTATGCCAATTGCACGCTCCCTCAACTTGACATCTGTGTCATTGTTTTTTGTGACAAAACTGCACATTGTAGTGGCCCTTTATTCTACCCAGCACAAGGTGCGCCTGTGTAATGATCATGCTGTTTAATCAGCTTCTTGATATGCTACACCTGTCAGGTGGATGGATTATCTTGGCAATGGAGAAATGCTCATTAACAGGATTGTAAAGAAATTTGCAGTGGTGGAAAAGTAACGATATCTTAATAGAAAATGACTCAAGTAAAAGTGGAAGTCACCCAGTACAATATTACTTAAGTAAAATGCTAAAAGTATTTGGTTTTAAATATACTTAAGTATCAAAAGTAAATGTAATTACTAAAATATACTTAAGTAAACCACATGGCACCAGGGATGTTCTCTTGATAAGTGCATTAATTGGACCATTTGTCCCGAAGTACTTTTGGGTGTCAGGGAAAATGTATGGAGTAAAAAGTACATTATTTTCTTTAGGAATGTAATGAAGTAAAAAAAAAAATATATATATATATATATATATATATATATATATATATATATATATATATATATATATATATATATATATATATATATATATATATATATATAGTAAAGTACAGATACCACAAAAAACAACTTAAGTACTTTTTAATGTATTTCTACTGAAGTACTTTACACCACTGCAAATTTGTGCACATAATTTTGAGAGAAATAAGCGTTTTGTGCATATGGAACATTTCTGGGATCTTTTATTTTAGCTCATGAAACATGAAACCAACACTTCTCATGTTGCATTCATATTTTTGTTCAGTATATGATTGACTGAAAATCCTTATTCGAGACTTGGCCAAGATGTATGCAATTTTATACTTTAACTGGTCATAAAGCATAATAACCTATAGGTAGGGTGGGTTATTAGGAACTTTCTCCACCAAAATGGGATCACAAGTTGGCGGGCCACATCAAAGCAGGTGGCGAACCAAAAAATTGCCCCTGGATCAGGACACATGTTGCAGACCCCTGCTAACTGTATAGCTGCATGCACGAGTTAGAGCTGCATTGAGCTCTAGTATGATAACCTACTGGAAATGTGTCCTTTTTTAAGATACATTGTCCCATGGTGCAGTCAGCCCCCTCACAGGTACGTGGGCTGTAGTATCCTTGGCAACAGGGGTTACCTGTTGCTCGCCATGCCATGTGACACCTGCTTCCCACAGTGGCCTGCTGTTTGAGCTCCCCTGCTGTCAGCCAGCTCCCATAGCCGGCCATTCAGTTCACTGGCTCTTGCATTAGCACTCACTCAGTGGCTGTCACCAGCCCCTTATCCATAATGGATATCAGGGCTTTTACTGTCCAAGCCATGTAATTAGTGCCAGCATTCCCTTGTGGCGATTAACTGTACAGAACCCCTGCTGTTTGTGCACTGAGGGAAATTAAATATGTTTGTGGGTGCAGACTGCACACCAAGGGAAGTTTGTATACGTGTGCACGACACATGGTGTGTGTGTGTGTACACGCTCCGGGAGCTAATTTGTGTGTAGTCTATGTTTATGTAGGGTATCTGTTTACATATTGTAAAATTAGACATTGGCATATTACATGGAAATGAATGTTTTTCTCATTAATTAAAACATAACAGAGCAATTCATCTGTTGATACCGTACAATTCAGCAGGCCTGGCATGATGCATCTCAATATACTAGCAGCCTAAATTGTTTCTCCAGGTCTCTGTGCTCTGTTAGAGCTAGCTTCTAGTGAACACACTCCTCTTAAAAGCATCAGATTTGTCCAAGTGCCGCTCCAGATTAACCTGTGATTGTCCACACACCCTCCGTCTACGTTCGTCTCAAAGAAAGTCTGCCCCCTCAAGGGATATGAAAATGAAAGTCTGAAAGTCGATGAAGGGAGCAGCGTGGTAGATTAGGATGGACTTTGGGCGACTTTAGACTTTGCTAATCCCAAATCCGCCATTTGCTCAAGTAGCGTTTGGCTCTCTTCAAGATTTACATGGATCCAGATGTATTCCTCCTTTCCTAGCTAAACAGTTTCTCTTCCATTTGTTACTAAAGACATCACTTTGCACACTAATATTTAGGAGAGGGGGGACAATTGTAAACGGCGAAAGCTTTATGGTGGGTGAAAACTGCAGTTTATCCATATACCTAATTACCAATCCGTTTAAGTCATTAGATGTTTGACATCTAGGAAGTTAAAAAAATGTAATCCTTTTAGCGGGTATTTAAAAGATTAGGAAGGAAACTGTTGGTCATTAGGGGCCTATGTACGGCAAGGATTCACAGTTGCAGCCGAGGTTGCTGGCTCCGGGACGCACGCAATGTTTCCCGCAAGCTTTACCAAGCTATGTAGCACTACTGTAGGTATTTTTGTCTTGTAGATCTTTTTCCCGACAACATTTTTGAATTTGGAACACCAACTAAAGTAGTTGATTCTTGGGTAGGCCTAATCTAACAGAAAAGGCTAATTGAACTAAGCAAAGATCATTTGAAGTTGATTGTGGTTGCTTTTTTAAAGGAATGTAAAGTGTAGCATTTAGTATAGTCAGTGTTCAGTGTAGCATAGCATCTAGCCTTAAATCTAGAATTTAGCCAAGTTTGTTGGACTGCCTCTTAAGCGGCGCAGACACACTGTAATCTCTGTATTTATCCTCACTGACCCTGCCTTGCCTGTTGTCTTCTTTTCCTCTCTCCCTGTGTGACCCCAGTTGGCTGAGTACCGGCAGAAGAAAGCTCATGCCGACAGACAGAAGAAGAAGCAGAAGAAGAAAAAGAGAAGAGAAACCGACGACGATCCGGGTGGAGATGGACCGGGTAGAGGGGAGGCCGAGCAGGAGTTAGATCAGTCAGTGGGGGAGGGAAGTGGGGGGGAGGTAGGAGGAGGAACAGTGGAACCGGACCCCCCTACCACAGAGTTTACCTTCGCCAGGACCCTGCGCAGTGGTGAGACGGTCAAACACGACCAGACGTACACCATAGAGGTAAGGCCAAAAACCTCTGGACCATCCCTAACCATTGATTGACCATTTGAATTGAGCTTCTCCTAGCGTGCAGCCTTGCTTGAGTTGGAAAGTTGAATAGACTAGAGAAGAAACTGGCTTGGCTCAGTAGTGTTAAAGGGGATAAGAACTGGTTCTTCCCCTGGCCATGAAATTATGGTTTATTAAAATAATATTGGTCTTCTGTGAGGAATTTCTCACAACTTGATCCTAGACAGGGTGAACTGATTGAGCTAATCAACCATTCATCAAGACCTAGGTTAGTTGAATCATGTATGTTAGCACTAGGTTCTTTTTTTGCTGATGCTATGGTAGAGAAGTAGCCTAATGTGTGTAGGGATACATTGTAAGCAGTAGTAGCCTATATTTATGTGGCTTCCTGTATTGTCCCATACTGATCATCTAGTGAAAGATAATGGTAACTTGAATCACAAATATGAATTAACACTAAATGTGCTCTTTATTTCTAAAGCATTGGTACAGTTTTTAAGATATACATTTTAATTGCTTGGCTTGAAAATGTACGAAATGAATGCACTTACTACTGTAAGTTGCTCTGGATAGAGTATCTGCTAAATGACTAAAATATACATGTACAATTTTGAATAGAACATTACATTAGATAAATAAAAATGCAAAACGTAGTAGTCCAAACATGACATAATAATGTTTTGGTAATCACGCATATTTAATGCCGGGGACCCTGATAAGCGATTCACATTTTGTTGCATCAAAGACGTTGTCTGAATCCATTCGAGCAGAATGAGCAGTGTCTCAAGTCTCATAACAGTCCCCGGAATTAACCTATGCAGTTGCTATGAGCGACTTTTGTGAGTGCCGATTTTCAAAGGCGCAATATTAAAGCAGCGTTTCCCAAACTCTGTCCTCGTGACCCCAAGCGGTGAACGTTTTGATTTTTGCCCTAACACTACACAGCTGATTAAAATGATCAAAGCTTGATGATTAGTTGATTATTTGAATCAACTGTGTAGTGTTAGGGCAAAATCCAAAACGTGCACCAGAGGACTGAGTTTGGGGAAACCCTGAGTTAAAGGGATGAACAGTGGAGCAGCCAATAAGTGTCCTTGTTAGTGCTGTGTTACCTTTTGATTTGCTGAATCACAACACCTTTTTGGCTGAATTTGAAACCTGAGTTACAGCTGGCAAACTGCATTTCTTTATTTTTGTGAATATTGTTATTGTGCTAGAGGGTTGGGTTAGAGAATTCTTTCAACTTTGGTTAGATAATGAGCAAAATAATAAACAAAAAGATAAGGTAAGGATTTGGTGAAAATTTAGTTCAGGCTTCTTTTCCCAGCTCTTCAGACATGTCTTTATAAAGTTTAATATAATAAATAATATGCCATTTAGCAGGCGCTTTTATCCAAAGCGACTTACAGTCATGCGTGCATACATTTTTACGTATGGGTGGTCCCGGGGATCGAACCCACTACCCTGGCGTTACAAGCGCCATGCTCTACCAATTGAGCTACAGAGGACCAAAGTTTAATTGCAAGCTTGCTCAATGAATCTCTCCCTCTCTTTCAAATGACCGTCTTAGCCTGTCATTATTAATATAACGCAGCTCGCCTCACAACCTTGAGCGCATTCACAAGCATTGAATAGGTTGCATGCACCATGCCACCCCCAACTCTGCACCTACGCTGAACAATGCAAACTCCTCTCTTTCCTCCCTCCCTTCTGTTCCTTTGTGCAACTTGTGTCACGAACAGCATTAATAGTTTTCATTCCCTCTGTTGCTGAAAAACCACACAGCATTTTTTTCTCCCCTTGCCGACTGAATGTAACTAGGAAATGGTGGGTTGCCGTGGCAACAGACAATTGATTTTAAACAGGTTGAGCCGCCACGTTCTAGTGTTGGAGAGCTTTGTGGCCTTGCAGCACAAAACGGACCCGGAGGTGATTGAATAGAGTGGCTGCTGCCTGTCTTTTCTTTTGGTGGTCGGTAGCTCAGCACTTTCTCCGTCATGACTACTGTATTTCTATAGGGGCCCCGTGTAGCTCAGTTGGTAGAGCATGGCGCTTGCAACGCCAGGGTTGTGGGTTCGATTCCCACGGGGGGGGGGGGGGGCAGTATAAAAAAAATGTATGCACTCACTAACTGTACGTCGCTCTGGATAAGAGCGTCTGCTAAATGACTAAAATGTAAAAATGTAAATATAGGCATGCAGACATTTTGAGCAGCAGCACGCCTAAACGTTTGTCATGAATTTCCACTTCGGTCATTAATGATAAAATGTTCATAGGTCCAAGATGCTCATGAGTTTAGACTCGTGTCGTTGAGTTCAGACTCATCTGAATCCATATTTGTAATAATGAGACTGATAAATGGTTCAACCATTTAGTTAGAACCATTTTAGTTTTTAGTCTGTTTCTTCTCACAACAATGTGTTTTAATTTCCAAGACAAAGGGTGTAATTGGCCCTGGGCGCACCATTGAATCTACACGGAGACTTTCCAAGTAGCCATACAACTTCCCCTGCAGAGAGGGGTTGCTGTGGAAACACCATCTTCAAAGTGTTCCCCTTCCAAGGCACGTGTATAGGCAGATGGCTTCACAGAGATCTGTGCGAGTGCTAACCTGTTGTATTGTCTCTCACCGGTGCATATCTTAAACAGATTAACCGCGTTTCACATCTGACACAAGTTGTATAATAGAGGCAGACTTGCTGATTATCTGACAATTTGACGTCCTGATACAATCAAATCCATGATAAGCAGCTTGCCTATCTTTGAAAATCATATTCACGTTTCCGATTCATACATTTGAAGTGATATGCCTACCCTAGATAAATGTTACGTTACTCCAATCCCCACAGGATCTTTTTTTTTGTGCAAAGTTACAAACGTGAGACGTCAACAATCTGACACTTCTCTTAAGACATCACATCCAGTGTTGCTACTAGGCTACATCCAATGCTGTTTCCTATTCTACCTTCCCTAGAATCACCAGAATTCAACAAGCACAGTCCAAGAAATATAGGCTAAACTGTTGCTGATACCAAAGCCATTCAAAGTCTCTCCCAATCGTCAATGAAAAGGAACTATCGGCCTACTGTGCCATAAACTCTGACAATAAAACCTCTCATTTCATTTCTCCCCGACTTGCCCCATGGTGTTCCAAATGTGTATATTGTTTAAGTGAAATTAGCCCCTCTAGAATAGGCTCCAATGATCACTGCCATTATTCCATTGAAAAGGACCTGTCTTATAAAAGTAGGTTGCGCCCCGTGATTGAATGTGGCACAGCATGCTTCCAAAATGCCCCATTGAATGTAGGTCAAACGGGCAGACAGCATTTGACATCGCCATAATTAACCTATTCTTCTCCAGAAACTGACCAGAACTGGCTGCACAAAGACGAATCGGAAATGAGAGGACAATAGCCTTGTCATATCATGAACTGCTCCCCAGTCAGTCCCTCTTTAAGTAATGGGACTGTAAAGCAGAATTCTAGCTGTACACACAATGTTGACCTAGGGTGGGCTTGTTTTAGCTAAAACTGCTTACTCATGTAGTTATGGTCCATCAGTTTTAATGCACTTTGAAGCTTTTTTTTTCTCCCCTCTGCTTGTTGTATTGAAATGCAATCCACTCTGCTCGAGTTGAGGTTGTGTGGGCCACTTGTACTGGTGACTCACGGTGGGCCTATTATGGTCCTCCCCATGCAGGGTCTGATGAATCCTCCTCTTGTTTCCTATTGCAGCCAGATAGTGAAGTGTCCACCACAGCCGAAGACTACTCCTCCGAGGTGAGTTAACTTTGTCGTAGTTTACACCAGAGAACACTTTTAAATGGAGTTAATATACTGTACTTGAAGGGAATGTTTTATTTGTTTCCTCACCTTGAAAAAAATATTTCCCCTGTTGGTTAAGGTTCAGATTTGACAGAGGGTAAGCTGATTCTAGATCTGTTAATAAGGTCCTCTGCTATTTACGATTAGTGTTACGGTTCGGGGCTTAGGTCCTTGGACAGGCCTGCCTTTTCCCAGGTTGCCTCATGGAACAGACCACATGACTTGGCTAGCTTGTTGCCAGGCACTCAGCTCCCCAAGTCCCCGTCTGGCATTTATCTGAACTTGACAAGTCAAAGTAGTCCCGTCGCACCTCTCACCCCCCTCCCCTCTTCTACAGAGCCGCCATTAAAATGTCTGCCTGTGACACTGAGTTTAACGGTTTGGAGAAGGCGGCAGTCATTACTTTAAAGCCTGACATGGACGACAGAACCAAAATACCACATTTAATTACGTCCTTCATTCTGTGCACTGTACACCAGTGAACAATGGGAAGCTGAACCATGAAATCCTCCTGCTTTACCAGACAGTATTGTGAATTAACAGGTGAATGGCTGCCTTGAGATGACCGAGAACCCAATGGAGACTTCCAAGGAGTTTATCTGGGTACAGTACGACAATTAAATAGACAACAAGCTACTGTCTCTTTTTACTGTAACACGTTTGCTCTGTCTCCGCACTGCATTCTGACCACCTAACCCTGAGATTTTCCTCAGACTAACTCACTAACCAAGTCCCTTTTTATTCTCTGCTTCTGGAATCCTCAGTGTGCGCTTGTGAAGTGGTTTTAATTTCAAGGCCAGGGACTGCAGTGCAGCAACAGCAGCATTGTCCGTGGGCTGCTGCCGTCATCCTTTAACATTTACTCCCCATTTTAACAGCAGGGATGGGGAGTAGGGAATCGGGCCTGCTTGACATTTCAGATGTGTAAATTACTCTGGAAGTCAGACCAGAAAGAGGAAAACAGAAGGAGGAAGAGAAGTAGAAAGAGGGATTGGAGGATGGAATGATGAAGTGGCTAGAGAAGAGGGCGCTGGACAATGATGCAAGAGCTGCTCATTTGCCAAGGCACGCAGGTAATCCTGCCATTTGCAGGCAGGATCAGAGGGTGAGAGAGGGATGGAGGGAAGGGAAAAGGGAGAAGGAGGGGATAGAGGCTGAGAAAGACAGCAAATGAAGTGATTGACTGTTTCTGTGTGATTTTGTTTGAGAGTAAAGAAGTAAAACCATTCTAAGAAGGAAAAGAAGATAGAGCGAGGTAGAAAGAAAAAGAGGAGAGCGTGACGTTTAAGGTAAGAGTAGTGAAGTACAAAGGTAAAGCGAAAGAGGGAACCATTGTCAGCACAGTGCTCTTTAATGGCTGCCAGTTCTTTGGCAGTTTTGGATGTTGGCTAGTTAATTTCTACCATTCCCCTCAGTTCTGTGGCAGCCTTGGATGCAAACTAATTGCTTCAGTGGTGGTTTTGTAGGTTAGCTAATTGCTAAGCTAGCTACCATTTCCCCCTCAGTTCTGTGGCAGTTTTGGATGTTAGGTAATTGCTAAAATAGCCACTGTTCCTCCCCACAACAGGAGGAAGTGGACCCTGTTCAGCAGGAGGTGAGGGGTGGAAGGGTACAGGTCATGGAGGAAGAGCTGGCTGCCAAGACTCTGGCGGTAGAGGAGCTGAGCCGAGAGCTGGAGGAATTTAGAGCGGCCTTCGGCACAGAGGGGGTGCAACAGGTAATATGCTACATGTACATGCGTGGTCTATGTGTATGTATGAAGGAATTAAGATTGGTAGTTAGAAAAATAGTAGATAACCTGCTTCACCTGTCAACTGCAAATGTTCATATAACATTTACATTTTTTGTAGTCTGTGTTATGAGTCTAATTTTCAAGCAGATTGCATAATGGGTTGGCCTTGCTGAGCCCACGCTGCGGGGCTGACCTTCCTTTGAGGGTGCAGCTCTCATATTGATAATAACGCCATTACCCAGCAGGGGTCACTGTTAAAAAATCAGGTTATGATTAATATTTTATTTTTCCACTTCTGTGGTTTTCTATTACAATAATTTGCATGGTTTTGTTCGCAGTAGTTTAGGCCTACTTATTTTCGTTCTTATCTTTCAAGGAACCTATTTCTAAGCTTTTATATACTGATATTCAGATTACTGCTCAAATATGTAAAGATCAAGTGAAATGTCAAACACACGTAACATGTACATATAAATTATTCTTGGTATTTCCCTTTTCAATGGACTCATCCCCTTTCTTGTTTGGTTGAAAAACATTGATCTGTGGTTCTATTACCACCTATACTCCTTTAAATCACCTCTACCCTCAAATATCCCAAACTAGCTACTTCCATTGTTGAGACCACACTTTGTCTTTATCAAAGTCAAGCCAGTGTACTATTTTCTTTGTCATACTAAAGTGTGACTTGTGAATCACTGACGTTTATTATGCAAGGTATACGCACTGCACTTTTTTTTTCTCCTCCAGCTGCAGGACTTCAAGGCTGCCTTGAAGCAGCGAGATGTCATCATCACCCAACTCACAGCCAATCTGCAGCAGTCTCGCAAAGAGAAGGACGAGGCCATGAGGGAGTTCCTGGAGATGACTGAGCAGAGCCAGAAACTGCACATTCAGTTCCAGCAGGTAAGACATTCTTGTCTAGGCTATACACTACACTAGACTACATTACACTATACCATATTATCCCACCCTAGTCTATAATAGAAGAAGAAAACAAGATTAGTCAGGTGAGGTACAAACTTTTAACAAGTGTAGGGTTAGACTAGGGTTGCAACATTTCTGTAACTTTCCCAAAATAACCTTTCCAGAGAACCTGGTTGGAATATTCCGGGAAATCAGGGAATCCTCCAACCGGGATTCCGGGAAAACCTGGGAATATGGGGAAAGTTACAGGAATTTTGCAACCCTAGGTCAGACATACCTGTACCAGTCCTATGCAATCCTATATTTCCTATGCCATCTTATTCTGTCTCAAGCTTTTCCCTGCTCTATCAACATTTAATGTATTTTATTACCCTTCTAATAATTATACAACAGATGTGGTGGTGATATTGTTGTTTTCCCTCATTTCCACGGGAACATGAACACCCTCTGGTTTTATTGACAGCTGCAGGCAGGTGAGACGCTAAGGAACACCAGCCACAGCAGCACAGCGCAGGACCTCCTGCAGGCCAAGCAGCAGCTCGTTCAATACCAGCAGCAGCTGGAGGAGATGGACAGCCAGGTTAGAGGGCATCAAGTGATGAGCAAGGAGCAGCTGCTGCAGGTCAGCCAGCTCCAGCACCGGCTCAACGAGGCTGACATGGTGAGGCGGCTGCCTAGTTGGTGTTAGTCAGTGCCTGTCATTCATGTGAAAACGTCTGCTTGTATGAAACGTATTGAGATATATTCAATGGATCTGTTTTATAGGTGGTTGATTGCAGGGTGCATTTTGAAATCTGATTTACATTTCTTACTATTATTACCTTATTACCTTACAAAAACAGAATTTAGTTTAAAGGCTGTTTTGTATAAGTTTTATTTAAACCGTTATAGTATTAGACTTTAATTATATTTTTGACATTTTACCTGTATGTCTAATAAATACTTTTCCTCACAGGTGGGAAGAAGAACAGAAGAGTCATTTGCACAAAGGTTAAATGAGAAAGACCTGCTGATTTCGGAGCAAACTGCAATAATAACAGAACATGAGCGTACACTGACCATGCTCAAGGTGGAGCTTACACAGGTGGGAAGGATGACTGAGGAGACTTTTGCACAAAAGTTGAACGAGAAAGAACTGCTGATTGCCGAGCAAGAGAGAGTCATGTCAGAACATGACTCCTCCCTCCACCAGCTAAAGGGTGAGTTGACAGCCTCTGAGAAATGCTTAAACGACCTCAACCAGCAAATGACATCAAAGGCCCAAGAGCTGGAGAGCTGTAAGAGGGACTTAGAGAGCACTAAGGGTGAGTTGAATAGCTATAGGGTTGAGCTGGAGGGCAGTAAGGGTGAGCTGGATAGCTGTAGGGTTGAGCTGGAGAGCTGTAGGATTGAGTTGGAGTCATGCAGGGGCGAACTCTCAGCTTCCAGGCAGAAGGAGCGAATGTCCTCCAGTGAAATCCAGCAGCTGATGGGCACCGTAGAAGACCTCCAGAAGCGACGCCACCAGGGCAGCCTGTCAGAGAGCGACACCCTCCAGAGGATGGAGGAGGACTCAGCCCGCAGGCTGGAGCATCTCCGGGCGGAGCTGGACGAGATGTACGGTGAGCAGATCGTCCAGATGAAGCAGGAGCTTCGCTTGCAGCACTCTGCGGCCCTGGAGCGGGTCACAGAGCAGCATCGCGAAGAGCTAGAGCTTCTAAGAGCACAGCAACCCGCACCCAGTCCCAGTCCCGAGGTGGTGATCGAGCATAAGGGCAAGATCGCAGAGCTTCAGCAGAGGCTCCAAGAGGCCCATGCGCTCCGTGAGAAGGACAGACAGGAGCTGACCCAGGTGGCACAGGAGAAGCTCAACCTCCAGGGTCAGGTGGTTGACCTGCTCCAGGACCTCCGCTCAGCCCATGTCAAAGTGGAGCAGGCCTCCCAGAACTTCTCTGTCCATGATCGTTGTCGGGGTGAGCTGCAGCGCCTCCAGGAAACCATTGATGACCTGAAGGCCCAGCTAGCTGCCACTGCAGAGTCGGCAGAAGAGATTGAGGCCAAGCACGAGTCGGAGACAACCAACTACAAGATCAAACTGGAGATGATGGAGCGGGAGAAGGACGCGGTGCTGGACCGCATGGCTGAGTCACAGGAGGCGGAACTGGAGAGGCTGAGGACACAGCTCCTCTTCAGCCACGAGGAGGAGCTCATTCTCCTTCGGGAGGACCTCCAGAGGGAAAGCCAGGTCAACGCTGAGAACCTCCTCAACGAGGTGTCCATCCGGCATGGCCAAGCCCTGGCGGAACTGCGGAACGGTTACGAGGACGAGCGGGACGAGCTGTTACACCAAATTGTTGCACTGAAAGACGACCTGAAGATGGCGCTGCACAGCTCGAAAGCCGAAGAGCTGGTGGCGCAACTCAAGGAACTTCAGGTGGAGGTTGAGGAACTGAGAAAGGGTGGAGAAGAAATTGTCAGAATGGAGAAGGAAATCCAATTGCTGTTGAAAAATAATGAGCTGCTAGAAAACCAATCCAAGGAGAGAGAAAAGAGCTGGGACAACAAATGGAGGGAGCAGGAGTCTGAAAATAGGATTTTGATGGAAACCAACAACGCCATGAAAGAGGAAGTGGAGTCCAAGACGAAAAAATGTAAATCCCTCACCACAGAAAATGAACAAAAGCAGCGACAAGTGGTAGAGTTGCAAGAGGAGATTGAAAAGCAAAGGAACACATTCTCTTTTGCCGAAAAGAACTTTGAGGTGAACTATCAGGAGCTCAAGGAGGAGTACACGTGCCTTGTTGAGGTAAAGGCGCAGTTGGAGGAAAGGATTCTCAAGGAGACACTTGTGTATGAATCAAAACTGGCCAGCCTCCAGTCGCAGATTCAGGAGCTGAGGGAGAACAAGGAAACTAGCAAAATGGAGGACAGCGGTGGTTCTTCGATAGAGAAAGGCACTACTGAGCTGATGGAGAAGCTGAAGGTAGCTCTGACAGAAAAGAAGGAACTGGCTGTGAGGCTGTCTGAAGTTACCGAGCAGCTGACTGTTACAGAAGGCGAATTGGATGAGCTGGAAGGAGAGCTGAGTCAGGTCAGGAGAGAAAACAAGGAGGTCATCGCCCGATTCGAAAACCTGGAAGAAGAGCTCGATAGAGAGCGGGAGACTCTGAAGGAGAGAAAGGGAGAGATGGAAGTGCAGAGAGAGGAGGGAGGGAGAGCTGCTCAGAGCCAAGCGAATCTCCAACAGAGAGAGCAGCCTGTTCAGTCTGCAGCCCCAGCTTGCTCCATCGAGGATCATCATCTCCAGATCGAATCTCTCAAAGGGGAGGTAGACGTACTCCGCTCCTCCTTACAGGCCGCCGAAATAGAGCGAGACCGCCTCCGACACACCACAGAGGCTCAGCAGCAAAGCCAAACGCTCGCTCCGTCTGCAGCCCCATCTCAGGTCTCGACTGTGGGGGAGGGACCTGTTGAGCGTAGCTCCGCTGTCGAGCCTTCAGCCTCTGGGTCAGACAGGCGCAAGACACAGCAGTGGCGAGGAAAGAAGAAGCGCCAGAGCTCTGCCCAGTCAAAAGAGAAGAGGGAGAAGGAGGAGGTGGCGGAGAGAAACGAAGCTGGAGGTTCTACTGCTGCAGCAGAACGGGAGGCGCGGCCTCAGATGGAGAGCCAGTTTCCATCGAGCTCACAGCAGAGGACCGGGGACGAGGACTCCACAGACGGGTACCACGGAGACGGAAAGCGAGACGGCGTTGGGAAGCAGGTAGGCATTCACAGGCAGCAGCTGCTACAGTCCTCTTAGCTGGAATGGCCCACGCTACCGAAACAATAAGTGCCTTGCCTTTTATATTTTTTTCTCTCTCTCTCAATTCCAGCCTTTTCATAAGTCTGATGAAACAATATTTCTGATTGAGCAGTTAAAAGGTTTTATAGAGCATTTTCATTGGCTCATGTTAATGCTCATTACACAATTGACTATTGTTGAAATAACCAGTTAATCATGTTCACAACCAGTACTACGTAACGATGTATCATTACTCCCTTGTTAAATTGTACAATTGATTATCATTACTTGACGCAGGTGAATGATATCTGTATTCATACACTGCATAGACTGAACCGAAGGCTTATTTAAAAACCTGGCTGAGGTGAGGTATGCCTGTTCTACCACTGACATTTTTATTCATTCAGCCAATCTCTAGTGACTGATAGGCTTGATTACAAAGTGCCTGGCAGAGGCTGGCTCTCATAGGCAGTGAATAACACAAGTACCCTCTTAGGTAAAAAGGGGCTCAATATTTTGTCTGTGGTTGTCAGGCCACACCACACATTGTAAAGCAGGAGAAGCTGAAGGGGGAGCATCAGTTGGTTCAATGCACAGAGAGTCTGTAGGAGAGCCTGTTGCATAAACACACAGTATTGACGCTCCACTCCATGTAACATTTTCAGATCGTTAAAATTATTACGTTGAAATCACCAAGCTTTACTCAAGCTGTTATGTAAGAATTATAATCAGTGTTCTATGATAATTAGGCTCTTCAAAGATTAAAAAGAGCCATGAAAAGACACAAAGCGTACATCGTTATCTTTCATGAATATCTTTCTCTAGCTAAGGAACTTCTTTGCTTTTATGTAGAAAAATGTATACATTGTAGTTTCTTTCCATCCTGCAGGGAGTAAGTGCTTGAAGGTGAGAAGCCATTTTGTGTCACTGCCACTCGTGTCTCACTTGTATTATACATGTCCAAGGCTTCACCTAAGTAGAGCAATGTCAAAGATGCACAGCATTTGTCCCTCATCTCGCATCAGTGCAGCACAGTATGTTCAGTTTCACTTACTGGGAAGGACCCCTTGACTACACACAGTAGCATCTTCATAAGCAACATTTACACCAATATTCATAAATTATTTTATCAAAAACAACAAAATGGTGCTATTGCCTCTTGATCTTGGTATCAACACTGCGTGCAAGTGAAGTACACCTCCATATGTGAGACATAGCATTCATTGCTATTAATGAATTACTAATAGAGGTATAATGAAATTCTTCCTAAGCTGTCTTAGTCTTTACAGTGTGGCCTTCTCAGTAAGCGCTTCATTGTGTTTTATGCTATACGTATTGTCGCCAGACCACATCAACATTGTTAACATGTTTTATATTCACGTTTAAACTCTTCTGTTACAATGGCTACTTTTTTCTCCTCTTTTCAGGAGAAGAGAGTAGATGGGATGGCGTGTCGGGCGGACCCTGTAGTGAAGCGAGAGGAGGAGGACCGGGACAGCGAGACCACAGAGCATGTAAATGTCACCCAAGCTCACATCCGCCTGTGCTTTTAGCTCCGGCCTGAGTCGCTGCCTTTGATGCATCAGAGAGTAGTACAGTGGTTTGGGAGGGTCAATCAACAGGTGGCAAAGCTTCATAAAGAACTATGGGCACCCAGTAGTAAGGTTGTAATGAAAGGCAAACCTTTTTTCACCGATTTTTATTATCAAGAGTCATATTTTGCTTGGTTGTTATTGTGTCAGCAAGTGGTATACTGTCCAGACTGTGCTAATAATCAGTGTGAAATAACCAAAGTATGAACTATGAATCTGTTTAGGAAGTTGCAATATGCAGTTATTCAACCTTTCAGTTTCATAGCAGTATTTGCTAAAGAACAGTGTCACATTCTACATAGCTACATGCATTAGGCTACCAAACATGTGCTTGACATCAATTTGATACATGACCTACTGTAATATGTACAGTATAGCGCTTGAGTGGGTTGGATAAATTGCTGTCTAACAAAGCATTATGAAAACAACAGTGTTACCATTCCACACAAAACGTACTGCGCACAGCAAATAGCAATAGGAAAAGAAAATCACAATTTCACACGAGTGTAGCTGCAACACATCTGCGTTTACACATCCATCCACGGACGAGCGAAAAGCCTTGCCAGCTCCGCATTGTGGTGTTGGCTGTAGAATGGATAATAGCTGGCCCCTCATTTGTTGTGCTAAAGCCCAGGTGCTCCCCTCCCCCCCTGTCTCGCTTATAAAATCAGAATCCGGGAAACAGGCATTCTCATTCAAAACAATGTTCTGGGTGGACTGGCCAACATATATTGGGGGTACACCATTTTGAATGTTTGTTTAATTAAAGGTACACTCAGCAGGCCAACTTCCTGCTTATATCAACAACAATAGGCATGCCTACATTTGGAGGGGCTAATATTGGTTGACAATCGTGTTATGTTTATATTGCTAAGAATACCTTAAATTCATTGTGTAAGTTGCAACAAGTACATTCTATCCTGTGGAATTTTTGTGTCCTACTCCTGAAACAATCTCTATTGTGCCACCATAGGTGGACTGAGGGAGTATATCCATTCTGGTCTATCTAATTGTATGCTCTCTCTACTCTGTCTGTCTATTTGTGTAGGTGGAATGCAGGCTGCAGCTGGAGGCCCAGCGGATCAGCCTGTCTCAGATGCACGCTGCGCAGCTGGAGCTGCTCCGGGAGCAGACAGACGCCCATGCCTGCATACTTGAGCAGGAGCTGGGCCACCTGAAAGAACCACGGGGTGCGTGTGTGTGTTTCTGTGTGCGCACACATGCATATTTCATTATGTGTGTGTATCTGGGATTATGGGGCCACATTGAAGTTGTTTTTGATCTATCATTCATGATTTCAAGCGTGCAACAAACTGTAGATAGAAAACAGGAGACTGACTCACACAGAAGTTATTCAGTCACTTTTGCTTTCACTTATTTTAGTAATTGAATGATGGTGTGCTATTTATGTTCAATATAAGCCAATAATACTGTATGCTTTTGTTGTTTTTCTCAGACTTCACAGATGATCCCAAAAGCTCCAAGTACCAGAATGTGGTGCAAGTTGTGTCTGAAGAAATGCAAGAAGCTCATCCTGGTAGTTAACATTAATTACACACTCTCACACACACGTGTTATGTTCTTCTATCCTCGTGGGGACCTAAAATTTAATTTCCATTCAAAATCCTATTTTCTCGGCCTCAAGAGTGGCGCAGCGGCTTCCAGGTTAAGCGAGCGGTTGTTAAGAAGCGTAGCTTGGCGGGTCATGTTTCGGAGGACGTATGACTTGCAGCGATCAGACGATCATAATCACAAAATTGGATAGAATGTGTTTTTAATTTTATTTTTGCAAATAATAATTTCCCTTACCTTAACCTTAACCAGTAACCCTAAACCTAACCACTAATCCCTTACCCTAACCCTAATTGTAACCCTAATCCTAAACCTAACCACTAAGCTTAAAATAGCCTTTGTCCTCATGTGGACATGGAAAATGTCCCCACAAGGGAGAATTGTCCTTGTTTTACTATCCTTATGGGGACTTTTGGGAATTTTAGATCCCCACAAGGATAGGACACACACAGCAAACCTAATAAACCAAGTATTGATTAGTGTTCCTTTGCCCTGAAAATTACTTTAAACTTTTGATTTCTGAGAACGTTATTAGACCACATTATTTCATGTTTTGACATTTTTACCACACGAGTGCATCAAATATTCACTGAGACATCAGTTATGTTTGAGAGCTATTTTGCCATTCTCTTTACAGTCCTTTGCTAAACTTTTCGGAGAGGAGTTCTTGGAGCATCTCCACCCCACTGATGTCGAGGACTGGAAGATTCATTCGTTTGAAAAGGAAGAAACCAGGGATCCCAGTGCTGTTTTACAGGAGGCAAAAGGTGCTTTATTGGTTGTAATGCCTACCCGAATGAGAACAATACTACATAAACAACACGCAGCCTATGAAATGAGTCGCTGACTAACGGAAAAAGTCAAAATAATTTAGTTGCACACCGATCTTAACTGCTGAATGATAAAATTACAAATGAGTATATTGTGTTTTCCCCCATTTTTATATTTGCATACACACATCAAATATAGCTACATCAATGATAAATGAAATATCTTATAGTCATTAAGACACTGCACAATACAGTACCTGAGGCGAACTGCATGAGGACATATTTGTAATGGACTTTTATTCTGTCTCGCTCTATAGAAATGTATATAGACCTTCTGCAGGTGAAGGAGAGGATTGAGCAGGAACACGGTCGTCTACTACAGCTCCAGTCCTTACTGAAGGCAGATGGCAATAAGGTAGGAAGGACTGCTTCATATTGTGTGTGTGTAAAAGTTTATTTAGTTAGCTCTTTGAGGGGTTTAGGCTAAGAGTTTATGCATTGGTGGGGAAAAACATGAACTGTCATTGATTGATTGGATATGTTTAGAAGTTATGACACCAACCTCTTGTTAGTGGTTGAAATGAAATCACAGTATTATGACTGGGATGAAAAGCATCAATGATTTGATTGATTGGGGTACAGTAATTGCTAGGAAACTAGCACTTAGCTTTTTAACTTTTAACTGTGCTAGTTAATAATGATATGACGAATGATAGTGCCTTCAGAAAGTATTCACACCCCTTGACTTTTTCCACATTTTGTTGTGTTACAAGGTGGGATTAACATGGATTATTTGTAATTTTTTGTCAATGATCTACACAAAACACTGTCAAATTGGATGAAAAATTTAAAAAATATAAAATATGACGTCATTTGAGTCAATTGGAGGTGTACCTGTGGATGTATTTCAAGGCCTACCTTCAAACTCAGTACCTCTTTGCTTGACATCATGGGAAAATCAAAAGAAATCAGCCAAGACCTCAGAAAAACAATTGTAGACCTCCACAAGTCTGGTTCATCCTTGGGAGCAATTTCCAAACGCCTGAAGGTACCACGCTCATCTGTACAAACAATAGTACGCAAGTATAAACACCATGGGACCACGCAGCCGTCATACCACTCAGGAAGGAGATGCGTTCTGTCTCCTAGAGATGAATGTACTTTGCTGCGAAAAGTGCAAATCAATCCCAGAACAACAGCAAAGGACCTAGTGAAGATGCTGGAGGAAACAGGTACAAAAGTATCTATATCCACAGTAAAACAAGTCCTATATCGACATAACCTGAAAGGCCACTAAGCAAGGAAGAAGCCACTGCTCCAAAACCACCATAAAAAAGCCAGACTATGGTTTGCAACAAAGATCGTACTTTTTGGAGAAATGTCCTCTGGTCTGATGAAACAAAAATAGAACTGTTTGGCCATAATGACCATCGTTATGTTTGGAGGAAAAAGGGGGTATCTTGCAAGCCGAAGAATACCATCCCAACCGTGAAGCACGGGGGTGGCAGCATCATGCTGTGGGGGTGCTTTGCTGCAGGAGAGACTGGTGCACTTCACAAAATAGATGGCATCATGAGGAAGGACAATTAGGTGGATATATTGAAGCAACATCTCAAGACATCAGTCAGGAAGTTAAAGCTTGGTCGCAAATGGGTCTTCCAAATGGACAATGACCCCAAGCATACTTCCAAAGTTGTGGCAAAATGGCTTAAGGACAACAAAGTCAAGGTATTGGAGTGGCCATCACAAAGCCCTGACCTCAATCCTATAGAAAATGTGTGGGCAGAACTGAAAAAGCTTGTGCGAGCAAGGAGGCCTACAAACCTGACTCAATTACACCAGCTCTGTCAGGAGGTATGGGCCAAAATTCACCCAACTTATTGTGGGATGCTTGTGGAAGGCTACCTGAAACGTTTGACCCAAGTTAAACAATTGAAAGGCAATGCTACCAAATACTAATTGAGTGCTTGTAAACTTCTGACCCACTGGGAATGTGATGAAAGAAATAAAATCTGAAATAAGTAATTCTCTCTACTATTATTCTGACATTTAACATTCTTAAATTAAAGTGGTGATCCTAACTGACCTAAAACAGGGCATTTTTACTAGGATTAAATGTCAGGAATTGTGAAAAACTGAGTTTAAATGTATTTGGCTAAGGTCTATGTAAACTTCCGACTTCAACTGTGTGTGTGTATATATATATATACAGTGAGGGAAAAAAGTATTTGATCCCCTGCTGATTTTGTACGTTTGCCCACTGACAAAGAAATAATCAGTCTATAATTTTAATGGTAGGTTTATTTGAACAGTGAGAGACAGAATAACAACAACAAAATCCAGAAAAACGCATGTCAAAAATGTTATAAGTAGATTTGCATTTTAATGAGGGAAATAAGTATTTGACCCCTCTGCAAAACATGACTTAGTACTTGGTGGAAAAAACCATTGTTGGCAATCACAGAAGTCAGACGTTTCTTGTAGTTTGCCACCAGGTTTGCACACATCTCAGGAGGGATTTTGTCCCATTCCTCTTTGCAGATCTTCTCCAAGTCATTAAGGTTTCGAGGCTGACGTTTGGCAACTCGAACCTTCAGCTCCCTCCACAGATTTTCTATGGGATTAAGGTCTGGAGACTGGCTAGGCCACTCCAGGACCTTAATGTGCTTCTTCTTGAGCCACTCCTTTGTTGCCTTGGCCGTGTGTTTAGGGTCATTGTCATGCTGGAATACCCATCCACGACCAATTTTCAATGCCCTGGCTGAGGGAAGGAGGTTCTCACCCAAGATTTGACGGTACATGGCCCCGTCCATCAACCCTTTGATGCGGTGAAGTTGTCCTGTCCCCTTAGCAGAAAAACACCCCCAAAGCATAATGTTTCCACCTCCATGTTTGACGGTGGGGATGGTGTTCTTGGGGTCATAGGCAGCATTCCTCCTCCTCCAAACAAGTTGAGTTGATGCCAAAGAGCTCGATTTTGGTCTCATCTGACCGCAACACTTTCACCCAGTTCTCCTCTGAATCATTCAGATGTTCATTGGCAAACTTCAGACGGGCATGTATATGTGCTTTCTTGAGCAGGGGGACCTTGCGGGCGCTGCAGGATTTCAGTCCTTCATGGTATAGTGTGTTACCAATTGTTTTCTTGGTGACTATGGTCCCAGCTGCCTTGAGATCATTGACAAGATCCTCCTGTGTAGTTCTGGGCTGATTCCTCACCGTTCTCATGATCATTGCAACTCCACGAGGTGAGATCTTGCATGGAGCCCCAGGCCGAGGGAGATTGACAGTTATTTTGTGTTTCTTCCATTTGCTAATAATCACACCAACTGTTGTCACCTTCTCACCAAGCTGCTTGGCGATGGTCTTGTAGCCCATTCCAGCCTTGTGTAGGTCTACAATCTTGTCCCTGACATCCTTGGAGAGCTCTTTGGTCTTGGCCATGGTGGAGAGTTTGGAATCTGATTGATTGCTTCTGTGGACAGGTGTCTTTTTATACAGGTAACAAGCTGAGATTAGGAGCACTCCCTTTAAGAATGTGCTCTAATCTCAGCTCGTTACCTGTATAAAAGACACCTGGGAGCCAGAAATCTTTCTGATTGAGAGGTGGTCAAATACTTATTTCCCTCATTAAAATGCAAATCAATTTAACATTTTTGACATGCGTTTTTCTGGATTTTTTTGTTGTTATTCTGGCCCTCACTGTTCAAATAAACCTACCATTACAATTATAGACTGATCATTTCTTTGTCAGTGGACAAACGTACAAAATCAGCAGGGGATCAAATACTTTTTTCCCTCACTGTGTGTATATATATATATATATATATATATATATATATAATCTTGATTAGATAAGTATCCAACCCTCTGAGTCAATACATGTTAGAAGCAACTTTGACAGTGATTACAGCTGTGAGTCTTTCTGGGTATGTCTCAAAGAGCTTTCCACACCAGGATTGTGCAACATTTGCCCATTTATTTTTTTCTAAATTCTTCAACCTCTGTCAAATGGGTTGTTGATCATTGCTAGTCAACGATTTTCAACTCTTGCCATAGCTTTTGAAGCAGATTTAAGTCAAAACTGTAACTAGGCCACCTCTGGGAAAATTCAATGTCTTCTTGGTAAGCAACTCCAGTGTTAATTTGGCCTTGTGTTTTAGGTTATTGTCCTGCTGAAAGGTGAATTAATCTCTGTGTCTGGTAGAAAGCAAACTGAATCAGGTTTCTCTCTAGGATTTGCCTGTGCTAAGCTCCATTCTGTTAATTTTTTATCCTGAAAAACTCACCAGTCCTTAACGATTAGAAGCATACCCATAACATGATGCACCCACCACTATGCTTGAAAATATGGCGAGTGGTACTCAGTAATGTGTTGTATTGGATTTGCCCCAAATATAACACTTTGTATTCAGAACAAAAAGTTAATTGCTTTACCACTTTTTTTGCAGTATTACTTTAGAGCCTTGTTGCAAACAGGATGCATGTTTTGGAATATTTTTATTCTGTACAGGCTTCCTTCTTTTCACTGACATTTAGGTTAGTGTTGTGGAGTAACTACACTGAACAAAAATATGAACGCAACTGTGACCGGGAGTCTCGTTGGGCGGCGCAGAATTGGCCCAGCGTGGTCCGGGTTAGGGGAGGGTTTGGCCGGGGGGGCTTTACTTGGCTCATCGCGCTCTAGCGTCTCTTTGTAGCGGGCCAGGCACCTGCAGGCTGACTTCCTCTGACACATTGGTGCGGCTGGCTTCCAGGTTAAGGTGGCAGGTTTTAAGGAGCGCGGTTTGGCGGGACATGTTTCGCAGGACGCATGACTCGACCTTCGCCTCTCCCGAGCCCGTTGGGGAGTTGCAGCGATGAGACAAGATCATAATTGGATCGCAATTGGTTATCATGAAATTGGGGAGAAAAAGGGGGGTAATTTAAAAAAAAGAAAATAAAGATTTAGAAAAACATCAAAAATAAGAAAAAAAAATATACAGTGGGGAGAACAAGTATTTGATACACTGCCGATTTTGCAGGTTTTCCTACTTACAAAGCATGTAGAGGTCTGTAATTTTTATCATAGGTACACTTCAACTGTGAGAGACGGAATCTAAAACAAAAATCCAGAAAATCACATTGCATGACATAAGTATTTGATCACCTACCAACCAGTAAGAATTCCGGCTCTCACAGACCTGTTAGTTTTTCATTAAGAAGACCTCCTGTTCTCCACTCATTACCTGTATTAACTGCACCTGTTTGAACTCGTTACCTGTATAAAGACTTCTGTCCACACACTCAATCAAACAGACTCCAACCTCTCCACAATGGCCAAGACCAGAGAGCTGTGTAAGGACATCAGGGATAAAATTGTAGACCGGCACAAGGCTGGGATGGGCTACAGGACAATAGGCAAGCAGCTTGGTGAGAAGGCAACAACTGTTGGCGCAATTATTAGAAAATGGAAGAAGTTCAAGATGACGGTCAATCACCCTCGGTCTGGGGCTCCATGCAAGAGCTCACCTCGTGGGGCATCAATGATCATGAGGAAGGTGAGGGATCAGCCCAGAACTACACGGCAGGACCTGGCCAATGACCTGAAGATAGCTGGGACCACAGTCTCAAAGAAAACCATTAGTAACACACTACGCCGTCATGGATTAAAATCCTGCAGCGCAAGCAAGGTCACCCTGCTCAAGCCAGCGCATGTCCAGGCCCGTCTGAAGTTTGCCAATGACCATCTGGATGATCCAGAGGAAGAATGGGAGAAGGTCATGTGGTCTGATGAGACAAAAATAGAGCTTTTTGGTCTAAACTCCACTCGCCGTGTTTGGAGGAAGAAGGATGAGTACAACCCCAAGAACACCATCCCAACCGTGAAGCATGGAGGTGGAAACATCACTACATTCCAAACAACAGGACGACTGCACTGTATTAAGGGGAGGATGGATGGGGCCATGTATCGCGAGATCTTAGCCAACAACCTCCTTCCCTCAGTAAGAGCATTGAAGATGGGTCGTGGCTGGGTCTTCCAGCATGACAACGACCCGAAACACACAGCCAGGGCAACTAAGGAGTGGCTCCGTAAGAAGCATCTCAAGGTCCTGGAGTGGCCTAGCCAGTCTCCAGACCTGAACCCAATAGAAAGTCTTTGGAGGGAGCTTAAAGTCCGTATTGCCCAGCGACAGCCTCGAAACCTGAAGGATCTGGAGAAGGTCTGTATGGAGGAGTGGGCCAAAATCCCTGCTGCAGTGTGTGCAAAGACCTACAGGAAACGTATGATCTCTGTAATTGCAAACAAAGGTTTCTGTACCAAATATTAAGTTCTGCTTTTCTGATGTATCAAGTACTTATGTCATGCAATAAAATGCAAATGAATTACTTAAAAATCATACAATGTGTTTTTCTGGATTTTCTTTCCGTCTCTCACAGTTGAAGTGTACCTATGATAAAAATTACAGACCTCTACATGCTTTGTAAGTAGGAAAACCTGCAAAATCGGCAGTGTATCAAATACTTGTTCTCCCCACTGTATATATAAAATACAAAAATATATAAAAATGTGACCCTGGTGAGGACGACGAGCACGCTGATGAGCTTCACTGAGACAGTTTCTGACAGTTTGTGCAGAAATTATTCGGTTGTGCAAACCCACAGTTTCATCAGCTGTCCGGGTGGCTGGTCTCAGACGATCCCACAGGTGAACAATCTGGGTGTGGATGTGCTAGGCTGGCATGGTTACACATGGTCTGCGGTTGTGAAGCCGGTTGGACGTACTGCCAAATTCTCTAAAACGATGTTAGAGGCGGCTTATGGTAGAGAAATTAACATTACATTCTCTGGCAACAGCTCTGGTGGACATTCCTGCAGTCAGCATTCAAATTGTACACTCCCTCAACACTTGAGACATCTGTGGCGTTGTGTGACAAAATTGCACATTTTAGAGTGGCCTTTTATTGTCCCGATCACAAGGTGCACCTGTGTAATGATCATGCTGTTTAATCAGATTCTTGATATGCAACACCTGTCAGGTGGATGCTCTGGATAAGAGCGTCTGCTAAATGACTAAAATGTAAATGTAAAATGTAATTATCTTGGCAAAGGAGAAATGCTCACTAACAGGGATGTTAACAATGTGAGAAATAAGCTCTTTGTGTGTATGGAATATTTCTGGGATATTTTCTTTCAGCTCATGAAACATGGGACCAACACTTTACATATTGCGTTTATATTTTTGTTTAGTGTACAATGTTGCTGATCCATCTTCAGTTTTCTCCTATCACAGCCATTCAACTCTGTAACTGTTTTAAAGTCACCGTTGGCCTCATGGTGAAATCCTTGAGCGGGTTCCTTCCTCTCCGGCAACTGAGTTAGGAAGGACGCCTGTATCTTTGTAGTGACTGGGTGTATTGATACACCATCCAAAGGGTTATTAATAACCATGCTCAATGGAATATTCAATGTCTGCTTTTTTATTTATTTGTATCTATCTACCAATAGTGACCTTCTGTGCGAGGCATTAGAAAACCTCCTTGGTCTTTGTGGTTGAATCTGTGTTTTAAATTCACTGCTCGGCTGAAGGACCTTACAGATAATTGTATGTGTGCGGTACAGAGATGAGGTCATTCACAAATCATGTTAACCACTATTATTGCAACTATCCATGCAACTTATTATGTGATTAGTTAAGCACATTTTTACTCCTGAACTTATTTAGGCTTGCCATAACATTTCAGCTTATCATTTTTTATTAATTTGTAAATATTTCTAAAAACATAATTCGACTCTGACATTATGGGGTATTGTGAGTAGGCCAGTGACAATCTCAATTTCGATTATATTTTTTGGGGGGGAGTAAAGGGGTGTAAATACTTTCTGAAGGCACTCTAGCTAATTGACTTTAATGATAATGCCAACAAACTCAGCTGTCAAACTCATTGTTATTCTTAGATTGAGGTGATACAGCTGGCGTACGATGATCTGAAGCGGAGCAGTGAGGAGGAGATCGCCAGCCTGCGCAGGATTATCCACAGCTCTATTACTTCCACACACAACCTTGATGGTAAATCTTAAACTATATTGTATGTCTAAACCAAAATCACCCCAAAATGGTGCTGTGGTGCTGAGTTATGTGGTGCCCATATTCTACACCATCTGCATTTGGAATGTCTGCAGGCCTCAATCCCAAAATGAATGGGAAAGATGGGCACGATCTGCTTCCATCTACATAGCCATGCTAAAGCTAACACTATCTCTCTCTACCCAGATCTGAGGGAGCTGACCACAGCCTCTCCCTCCTCCCACACTGCTGAAGACATCCAGAAGCTGAGGGCCGACGTCCAGCAGCAGCGGGCCCAGCTGGAGGAATGCCACAGACTGGAGGTGGAACACCTCAGGGTCTACTACCAGCAGCAGGCCAAAGAGACCGAGGAGCGCTACGCTACCGAACTCATCGTGCTACAACAGGTCCTTGAGGTCACAGGCACTGAGGCCCAGTTCAGGTAATAGTGACGATGATGATGACTGATTTAGAAATGGCTGTACATACACTACTGTTCAAAAGTTAGAAATGTCCTTGTTTTTGAAAGAATCTTTTTTTTTGTACATTAAAATAACATCAAATTGATCAGAAATACAGTGTAGACATTGTTAATGTTGTAAATGGCTATTGTAGCTGGAAACGGCAGATATTTAATGGAATATGTACATAGACGTACAGAGGCCCATTATCAGCAACCATCAGTCCTGTGTTCCAATGGCACGTTGTGTTTGCTAATCCAAGTTTATCATTTTAAAAGGCTAATTGATAATTAGAAAACCCTTTTGCAATTATGTTAGCACAGCTGAAAACTGTTTTGCTGATTAAAGAAGCAATAAAACTGGCCTTCTTGAGACTAGTTGAGTATCTGGATCATCAGCAATTGTGGGTTCGATTACAGGCACAAAATGGCCAGAAACAAATTACTTTCTTCTGAAACTCGTCAGTCTATTCTTGTTCTGAGAAATTGACGGCTATTCCATGCGAGAAATTGCCAAGAAACTGAAGATTTCGTACAACGCTGTGTACTACTCCCTTCACAGAACAGCACAAACTGGCTCTAACCAGAATAGAAAGAGGAGTGGGAGGCCCCGGTGCACAAATCTGTTATGAGTTTCTAGGGTATCAAGTGATTTAAGAATGTAAGGATGTACTTAGACACTTTTGATGGGGATTTCATATAAGATATTTAATATGGTACCATGGTTCGTTATAACAGAAGAAGGACATAGTCCTGCCTCTGCCATCTTCCGAACTCCATAACAAAGAGCCACTCTCTCTATATATACACTCTGTTACACGTTTCTTCACGAACATCTGGTACCCATCAGTGGGCATTACCTTTGATGTTATTATCCTTTACCCCAAGTCAGTATATCCTGTCCATCAATTATTCTAAGATCAACATCAGTAATCTCCTTTGACATAAGGAATGCAGACTCTGTGGCACCAAGCCACTTATCTACCAACTCTCCCCTGGGTCACACAACACTATGAAATCATTACAACTGAGCAAGAGGACAAATACATTAGTGTCTAGTTTGAGAAACAGACGCCTCACAGGTCCTCAACTGGCAGCTTCATTAAATAGTACCCGCAAAACACCAGTCTCAACGTCAACAGTGAAGAGGTGACTCCGGGATGCTGACCTTCTAGGCAGAGTTGCAAAGAAAAAGCAATATCTCAGACTGGCCTATAAAAATAAAAGATTAAGATGGGCCGTTTCCAGCTACAATAGCCATTTACAACATTAACAATGTCTACACTGTATTTCTGATCAATTCAATGTTATTTTAATGGACAAACAAATTGCTTTTCTTTCGAAAACAAGGACATTTCTAAGTGACCCCAAACTTTTGAACGGTAGTGTAAATCACATGCAAGAACTTCTCAGTGTTTATACTAGGCACTACTTCCTTCAAACTAACGTAAGCAGTCATTTTCAATGGATGGAGGATGCATTTTCTATCTGAATTTTCTTTATCATTGCATCCTCCTGAAAAGCCCCTGGTATCTCGGTGGTATGTTAGACCCCTAGAGGTAATGGGGGATATTGCATGGGTCGCAGTGAGGAGGAAAACTAGCTTGAAGACTCACTCAGTTCTTCCGCTGCTCTGTCGTTCGCTACATACTTTAGGCTGAGGATGCCATCATTGAAGTTGTTTCTGGTGAGGAGATCGTCTCTAACCAATCGGAGTATCAAAGCCAATGACAAGTTTTCAGACTTCCGCTTTACCCACGTGTGTTCTGGCTCTGGTCCAACCTGTCGGTTTCTGGACCAATCAGATGGCGCGAATGTGTTCGCATTCGGTGAATGGTCGGGGAAGTACTCAGATCACCCAGAGAAAGAAGTCTGGGAAGCCAGGCAAGAGGAAAAACACCATCAACCCTTTCACATTGCCCATAAAGACAAATAATTTAACTCTAACTAAATCCAACTTCATGGAATTCAACTCAACATATGAATTGCTGAGTCCACGAACACCTCATGGGTAATACATATTATTGAAGAAACACCACAGGTGCACAAGTGAGAGTGATGTTTCATCTCCCTCATGGGAGTGTCTGAAACATGAATGAGGAGGATCCTACTCGTGTGTGTATGTGTGTGTGCAAGTGCACGTGTGTGTGCAAGTGCACGTGGGTGTATAGAGAGAGTGCAGCAGCACTCATCAGATCACTGTGACCTGGATAGCACCCGGCAGTGAAATTCTACAGCTGCCATTCAGGCCCACTTTAATTGGCAAGGCATTAGCCGTCTCCTTATTCCTTTAGAAGTAGATTTCAGTTTTATTCTCACCCTGTCCAGGGTCCATTATTATTAGCATGGCTTTAATCTCCTGATATTAATTAGTTTCAATATATACTGTAAAGTAGTGATGTACAGTGCATTTGGAAAGTATTCAGACCCCTTGACTTTTTCCACATTTTGTTACGTTACAGCCTTATTCTAAAATGGATTTAAAAAAAAAAAAAATATATATATATATATATATATATATATATATATATATATATATATATATATATATATATATATATATACAGTTGAAGTCGGAAGTTTACATACACTGAGGTTGGAGTTATTAAAACTAATTTTTCAACCACTCCACAAATTTCTTGTTAACAAACTATAGTTTTGGCAAGTCTGTTAGGACATCTACTTTGTGCATGACACAAGTTATTTTTCCAACAATTGTTTACAGACAGATTATTTCACTTATAATTCACTGTATCACAATTCCAGTGGGTCAGAAGTTTACATACACTAAGTTGACTGTGCTTTTTAAACAACTTGGAAAATTCCAGAAAATGATGTCATGACTTTAGATGCTTCTGATAGGCTAATTGACATCATTTGAGTCAATTGGAGGTGTACCTGTGGATGTATTTCAAGGCCTACCTTCAAACTCAGTACCTCTTTGCTTGACATCATGGGAAAATCAAAAGAAATCAGCCAAGACCTCAGAAAAAAAATTGTAGACCTCCACAAGTCTGGTTCATCCTTGGGAGCAATTTCCATACGCCTGAAGGTACCACGTTCATCTGTACAAACAATAGTACGCAAGTATAAACACCATGGGACCATGCAGCCGTCATACCACTCAAGAAGACGCGTTCTGTCTCCTAGAGATTAACGTACTTTGGTGTGAAAAGTGCAAATCAATCCCAGAACAACAGGAAAGGACCTTGTGAAGATGCTGTAGGAAACAGGTACAAAAGTATCTATATCCACAGTAAAACAAGTCCTATATCGACATAACCTGAAAGGCCGCTCAGCAAGGAAGAAGCCACTGCTCCAAAACCGCCATAAAAACGCCAGACTACAGTTTGCAACTGCACATGGGGACAAAGATCTTACTTTTTGGAGAAATGTCCTCTGGTCTGATGAAACAAAAATAGAACTGTTTGGCCATAATGACCATCGTTATGTTTAGAGGAAAAAGGGGATGGCTTGCAAGCCAAAGAACACCATCCCAACCGTGAAGCACGGGGGTGGCAGCATCATGCTGTGGGGGTGCTTTGCTGCAGGAGGGACTGGTGCACTTCACAAAATAGATAGCATCATGAGGAAGGAAAATGATGTGTATATATTGAAGCAACATCTCAAGACATCAGTCAGGAAGTTAAAGCTTGGTCGCAAATGGGTCTTCCAAATGGACAATGACCCCAAGCATACTTCCAAAGTTGTGGCAAAATGGCTTAAGGACAACAAAGTCAAGGTATTGGAGTGGCCATCACAAAGCCCTGACCTCCAATCCTATAGAAAATGTGTGGGCGAGCAAGGAGGCCTACAAACCTGACTCAGTTACACCAGCTCTGTCAGGAGGAATGGGCCAAAATCCCCCCAACTTATTGTGGGAAGCTTGTGGAAGGCTACCCGAAACATTTGACCCAAGTTAAACAATTTAAAGGCAATGCTACCAAATACTAATTGAGTGTATGTAAACTTCTGACCCACTGGGAATGTGATGAAAGAACTAAAAGCTGAAATAAATCATTCTCTCTACAATTATTCTGACATTTCACATTCTTAAAATAAAGTGGTGATCCTAACTGACCTAAGAAAGGGACTCTTTACTAGGATTAAATGTCAGGAATTGTGAAAAACTGAGTTTAAATGTATTTGGCTAAGGTGTATGTAAACGTCCAACTTCAACTATATACATCTACACACAATAACCCATCATGAAAAAGCCAAAACAGGTTTTTAGAAATGTTTGCTAATTGATTAAAATTAAAAAACTGATATTACATGTAAGTATTCAGAGCCTTTACACAGTACTTTGTTGAAGCACCTTTGGCAGCGATTACAGACTCGTCTTCTTGGGTATGACACTACAAGCTTGGCACACCTGTATTTGGGGAGTTTCTCCCATTCTTTTCTGCAGATCCTCTCCAGCTCTGTCAGATTGGATGGGAATCGTCGCTACACAGCTATTTTCAGGTCCCTTCAGAGATGTTCGATCAGGCTCAAGTCTGGGCTCTGGCTGGGCCACTCAAGGACATTCAGAGACTTGTCCCGAAGCCACTCCTGCGTTGTTTTGGCTGTGTGCTTATGGTCGTTGTCCTGTTGGAAGGAGCAGGTTTTCATCAAGGATCTCTCTGTACTTTGCTCTGTTCATCTTTCCCTCGATCCTGACTAGTCTCCCAGTCTCTACCGTTGAATTATTTTTCTAAAAACCAGTTTTCGCTTTGTCATTATGGGGTATTGTGTGTAGATTGATGAGGATTATTATTTTTTAAATCCATTTTAGAATAAGGCTGTAACGTAACAATGTGGAAAAAGTTAAGGGGTCTGAATACTTTCCGAATGCACTGTAACTACAGTGGTTCCTCAATTAATAGTTTTGAGATCATGCCGCGGACATAGAGGTAATTTGTGGTTTAGTACGTTACCCTGCGTCAATGCTTCATTTCTCCAGACTACCGCAAG